CTTGAACTGTAATATATTTCTTGTTCTTGACCAAGGATCTGCCCCACCTCATCCCTAACCCTAATGCTATAATTCTCATCATCCCTTATCATTTGCTATGTTGGCTGCAGCTGAGATGAGCTGCAGTCCTACATCTGAAGAGCCACAACTTTCCCATTCTTGTTCCATATACCTACCCATGTAGAATTAAATCTGTATGCAACCAACTGTGATGTGAACCCATGCTTTTTGAATGTAAAGAAATGACTTACAAAATATTTCAGTTGAAGGTCACTTACTTTGGCTAGATTGAAACACTAGAGTCATGTCCTTTTCTTAATCTTTTAGAAGTCTTGCCATCCAAGCATTGCAGTTTCATCTTTCATATCTTTTGTTTCATTTCACATCACTTCTTATGGCTTCTTTATTATGCTTATTCGCCAATATCTCACTTGAATGGTTTCAGTTCACTTACAGTAGGTAATTAGCTCAGTGTTTTTGAGCCCTTGTCATCTGCACTGCAAGCTGTTCTGCTTGGTGGAGATTTTTAAATTCACAATTAGAAATGGAAAGAGGTTTATGTTACAAAGTATTGAGCGCCATGACCTTCCTGTTGCTTTCAGTGTGAACTGATATCTGCGTAGGCAATGTAGGTTCCTTCCCATCCAGATGGATTTCTGATGGCTCTTGGGGATTTTCCTGTCACTCCAACAGGTAATTCTGTTGAAGCTCTGGCTGACCTCTGGAATGCGGAAATGACTAGGTCAGTGGACACAATCACTCCTGAATGCCCCTCTCATGGAGTAGAGACAAACCAGCCCCTTGGTTTGCCAAGGAGTTGGCAGCAATGAAATGAGATGGAGACTAGAGCAATGTTGGAGGAAAACCCAAAGTGAATCTGACTGAGCACGGGCTAGAGAGTATTTGCAAGCCTACTCGGCAACAATAAAGACAGTGGAGAAAATGTTCCTTACTGCCACCATTGCATCTGAAAGGAACCGTCCAGCTAAGCTGTTTTGAGTGGTCAGAGAGCTATTACATACTGGTCCTCAAGGAGAAATCTCTGACCATTCAGCAGCCCACTGTAAAGAATTTGCAAGGCAAATTCAGCAGCCCACTGTGAAGAATTTGCAAGGCACTTTGCAGGTAAAGTAGCTCAGATCCATTCTGATTTATATGCTATTATTGATCCTGCTTGTCCAGTGTTGATGGATATCTTTCAATTTGTGTAGCCTGAGGATGTGGACAGGATCCTTGGCAAGATTAGAGCCACCACATTTACTCTAGATCCTTGCTCTTCTTGAGTGATCAAAGGGGCCAGAGGGGGCCTGGCAGAATGGGTAACGGTGATGGCCAATGCCTCCTTGGAACAAGGCAAAGTTTCAACTTGCCTAAAGGAAGCAGTTTTGAGACCTATATTTAAAAAGCCACCCCCGAATTCCTCTATAATGGACAACTATCGGCCAGTGTCCAGTCTTCCTTTTCTTAGCAAGGTTTTGGAGCATGTGGTGGCCTCCAAACTTCAGGGATTTCTAGATGAAATTGATTATTTAGCCCCATTTCAATCTAGATTCAGACCTGGCTACAGAACAGAGACAGCTTTGGTCACCTTGGTGCATGACCTCTGCAGAGAGCTAGACAGTGGGAGTGTGTCCCTGTTGGTACTCCTGGATCTCTCAGCTGCTTTCAATACCATTGACCATGGTATCCTTCTGGGCTGTCTTGCTGGGATAGAACTGTGAGATATTGTCTTATGGTGGCTCTGGTCCTTCCTGGAGGGTCGTACCCAGAAGGTGGTGCTGTGGGACTCATGTTTCAACCCCTGGCCATTGACCTGTGGGGTTCCTCAGGGTTCCATTTTGTCCCCCATGCTGTTTAACATATACATGGAACCACTGGGAGAGGTTATCTAGAATTTTGGAGTTTGGTGCCAGCTATATACAGATGACACCCAACTCTATAACTCTTTTCCACCTAATGCCAAGGAAGCTGTCCTGATCCTAAACCAGTGCCTGCCATCAGTAATGGACTGGATGAGAGCAAACAAATTGAAACTTAATCCAGACAAGATCCTGGTCAGTCAGAAGGTAGGCCAGGGAATAGGGATTCAGCCTGTGCTCGATGGGGTCACACTCCTCTTGAAGTCACAGGTTCACAGTTTGAGGGTCCTCTTGGACTCAACAGTGAATCTGGGGGCCCAGATGTTGGTGGTTGCCAGGATGGCCTTTGCACAATTAAAATTTGAGCACCAGCTGTGCCCATTTCTTAAGAAGCCAGATCTGGACACAGTGGGATGCCTTAGTTACATCCCATCTGGATTACTGCAGCACACTCTATGTGGGGCTGCCTCTGAAAGAGTGCTCGGAAATTTCAGCTGGTCCAAAGAGTAGAAGCCAGGTTGCTCACTGTGACTGGTTACAGGGAATTGACAACCCTCCTGTTCCAGCAGCACCACTGACTGCCAGTCTGTTACCAGGCACAATTCAAAGTGCTGATTATGACCTTTAAAGCGTAGATAGCTCATGTCCAGGCTATTTGGCTGGCCGCATCTTTTTACAAACCTGCCCGGGCCCTGAGATCTTCAGAAGAGGCCCTTCTCTTGGTCCCACCCCCTTCTCAAGCCCAGTTGGTGGGAATGAGAGAGCAGGCCTTCTCAGTGGCTTCCCCTCAACTCCCTTCCTGGGGAAACCAGAATGGCCCCCTTTGCTGTCCCAGTGGCAGGCTAAAACCTTTTTATTCAGATAGGCTTTTAAAGAAGAAGGTTTTTAAGATCAGTTCGGTGGTTGTTGTGGTTTTTAATTGAAAGGGTGCTTCTAATTTTTTAAACATTCTGCTGTTCCTTAAAATATAAACAATGTTGTGATGGGAGAAAAAGCTACTTCTACTTGTTGCATTCCCATCCAAGACAGCCATCTAGAGTTGATTAGTAGTAAGCTGAACTGTGTTCCATTGCTGAAAAAACAATGCCAAAATAGATGCTTTATAAATGGAAGACATGAAACGTAAACTGTGGGCTGTGTGTACATGTGTTTAGTTTTTGAATACAAAAACACAAACTATGTTAAAATCCCAGCATTAATCAAGACTAATAGCAACCTATAGATTGCGAATAATATTGTGGCAAACACGCCATTTCACAAACAAAAAAAATTGTTGCTAATACATGAACATCCCTGTTGGAATTACCAATCTATTCTATGCATGAAATGTCTTTATTGCATTCAAAATAAAAGCTCTACATGGAGCCATTGCTTCCATTGCAACACCTTGGGATGACCTGTGATTTCACTGAAAAAACAATGTTCAATCTTTTTTTTAAGTATGACTGCACTGATTAGAACAAAGTCTTAAATGTGCTGCAGATTGTGATCAATTACCATGATGCCAGTTCTACAGTTGCAGTGATATCTTGTTACAAGACACAACAGCACCATCTGTTGGTCAAATCATGCTCAAAAAGTAGATTTTCTTAAATTATAGTCAAAAAGTTAATGAAAAGGTGCAACTATATTATGTTTATATGAATCTAGCTTAAAAAGCAATAACCTTTGCTTGTTTATGTTGAAAGGGAGACATGTTTTTGATTACATTGTCAGTTGGCATATAAATGTACATTACTGTACTAAAACATTATGGAAAGAAGGAGATGCAGCACATCAGAGGTGTGGCTTGCTGCCCAGACAATTAAGAATTGTTTAATTTGTTTATTTTAAAATAAATATATATCAAAATTATTTCCACTGCATTTGGAGCCATCCAGTCCCTCTGAGTGAAACAAGAGTTTTACAACATTTTTGAAAATCCTCTCTTCCCACACCTCATCCCCAAAGGCTGCTTTGTTTTTTCTAAGTAGGATTTCTGATTTGAGGCATCTGGATCTCTTACAATATTCTGGAGACAAGGTGAAATAATTGTACAACATAAAGACACTTCTGTGGTTGTGTGCTTTGGCATATTTGCCATATGACTTATGTGAGAGTGTGGCTATATCTTATACTATAATATTGTTCTTTGTATTGTATATCAGGTTGAATTATTCTGTGATAGAACTCAATGGTAGCTCCAGTGACTGTGTTCAGATTTTAATCCCAATTTAATGGAGCTGTACAAATTCCTTAGGCTTCTATGATGGGTTTGTAACCAATTTGGAGTAGTTTTCAAACATACTCAAATTGGGGAGCATGGAAACTTGAGAGACTTGCCAAAAAGTCCATTTGGGGTTCGCATGTGGCCTATTGGGAGCAATATGTTCATTCTTCTTATAAACTTTCCCATACAATAATATTCCTTGTCATTTATAGAGATTTTAATGTGAGAACCTTGAAAAAATCCCATGCATTTGTGGTTTCATTATAAGCAGAATGGGTGTTGGCTCCTCCCGTCAAGAATTCCCATGTGTATTTTTTTCAAATGAGTTATATTTCCCAACTGCAATGGGAGGAAATGTAGACCTAGGGCTTCAGTAAAACCTCTGCCCACTCTGCACTATATTGGGAGGCATATTCATGGCCTGCGAAAGATTGAGCAAGACTAAAACCTTTCCCAGTCTGCCTATTCTACAACCCAAATCCCTTCCCATTTTTATTCCCTGAACATCCAAGTACCAGCACTGGGAAGAGAAAAGCCATGATGTTTCCATTAAACATGGGAGAGGGATGCAAAGCCAAATATATCGTACAAGGGGGGGACCTCCCATCTGCATTAAGTGACAGCTTCCAAATGACATTAATGCCCTTGTATGATCTCTCAACTCTGACAGGCCTATGATCTACATAAAATACATAAAATGTAGGAATTTACCTTATATGAAAGGAGCTTGAAATTCTTGCCAGTTATAAATTTAAGTAAGTATTTTTCTAATGCTGTGACATTAGAGCAATGCCTTCCCCTATCAGAACTTTGAAGTCAACAATGGAACACTTCATTTGAAGCTAATAAGAGAACTCTAAAGCATTATTCATTCAGAGACATAAGAGAGCCCAAAATATAAACACACTAATAACAAATTTCAGTGGTGAAAATATTTTAATTCAAATATTTAAGTAGCATCTCTTTGAACAAAATATTCTTTTACATGTTATGGCAATTCTCTAAAATATTTTTTTCCATTTAAAATGTTACACAATGTGATTTTGACATGAGAGGAATTCAGTTCACCAGGAAATTTGTGCATATATATATACATATACATATATATATCAACAAAAAAGAGTGAAAACATCTGGCACTATGGAGCAACCTATACCAACATACATGTAGCTTCCAATGAATAAAATCATAATAATCACACAGAACAAGAGAAAGCTCAGTTTTCTATTATAATGGAAGACAATATTTCTTGATACTTCAAAAAATGGGCAAGATGCAAAAGTGAGTCTTCAACTCACAAAAAAACCCCAATTACACCAGAACTGAGAGAACAGTGATTCACCTTTCTCCCCATGTACCAAAACTTGTTCTGAAGGGCTATTACCCCCCACAGTCCATTTTCAAGTAATGCCGAGAACTGCATGGAAAAAAGAGACTTCCTAAAATTCAACTGCAATTTTTCCATATCTTTGACATGTTCTTTAGGATGCTATCCAAGAACTCATTTTCGTTGTTTCATTCATATTTACTTTTGTACATACTTATGTCTGCTACAGAATGTGAAATCATTGTTCTCTACAGCAAAACTGCAAGAGAACAGCACAATCAAAATCCAGATATGCAAAGTCTGTATTTGTGACTTTTGGCATGAAATAAAGAACTCACAAAAGTGAGTTCAACAAGCAGTTTGAGATGTATTGCTGTAAATTGATATCGAGAAAGGAAAAGAAGCAATTCCACTTCTTTGGATATCCACTTCATGGGTTGTGGCTTAAATCCTGAAGGCACTTAGTTAACAGTAGTTCTTATAATGTAAACATAATGTTCAAGATAATAAAAAGCTAACTTTTGTATTATTTCTTTATTCACATACTTCAATTCACCCAAAATTATAAAGAACTTTTAACAACCCAAAATGCACAAGAAAACCAAGGACATGAAAGACAATGTTTTCTTGCCGTATGGATTTCTTTTTACTATGAAGACATATGGTCTTCACCACATTATTACCTGCAAGCATCCTGGGATGCTTGTAACATAGCTGATCAATGGAGCCATGCCGCCCATCACACAACACAGGCTGATATACAGCAGGGCCCCATCGATGAACTGGGGCACATACATCCTATGACACTGCACCCAGAATATGACAATGCTTCTCCATGTGTGATGGAGAAGCATCACTGCCAGTGAGGCAGGGCAAGGGGTGCCAGGATTGACCCACTGCCCTGCTGATTCACTGTGGAGACTCATCAATGTGATGAGGTCCATAGAGCAATGTTGTTTAGCTTTCACTGAGCATTGCAAAAAATATTATATTTTCATTTATTAATGGATTGCCTGGAAGTAATGGAATGCTGTGACAAAACAAAGAAACTGTAAAACTCTTCTAGAGCAATAAATTATTATTTGAGTTTAACTACAACAATCTTAACTTCTACAGTCTTCCTCTTCGGCAGTCTTTGGGTCATTGCTGGCCTTTTCCCGCTACTGATCTCAACTATCACTTTCGGATGCCTTTGTAAGATCAAGCACATTACTATTTAGCAGGATCATTCCTTCCGATCCACAGATGCAAACAGCAGGAGAAGAATGTACAAATAATCTACAAATACACCTTGGAAACCCTTTATGTGTCTTCCTCTAGAAATAAAGGGTAGACAGACATGTGTATGCTTATGTGAAAGAAGGCACTGATGTGCAAATGCCATTCAGAACCTTATGACAATAAAAAAACTTTGTTTCGTATTTATCAATCACACATAGGTGATTCAAAGCAAAATTTTGGAATACTGGACTTACACATTTGTCAACTTTAGGTAAGATTGTAACTATTTTATATGAACATTTACATTCACCTAATACACACAGAAAGTTGCAAAAAAGTACATTTTAGACTGCAGCTGCCAAGCTGGCTGGTGGATTCTGACACTGGAAATTACTTTAAAATAGTAATTTCAATGAGCTCTAATTAAGATTCACTGTTAAGACACATTAAAAGATGGAGGCTGTTGATATACTTCCAATGTTGAACTTCAAATACTTGATAAAATGCTGGTGAATGTTGTGACTGATACTAATGTTCTATTAAATAGCCATGCCATAGTAACAGAGAATGACTTGGGAGACATAGCAACACCTTTTCTGTATAATCATGTGATGATAAAGCTTCTGTCAAGGCACAGTATTGAAACTTTAATGAAATCTGATCATAAGTACACCCTTTTGTCACCAGGAAGCTACGTAAACATTAAAACACATTCATCTGTTCAGCCATTAACAAATTTACAATACACCGAACCTATAGTTAACTAAGCAAAGTCACAGCTACATATTTTTCCTGGTTTATAGAAAATATCTGTGAGTTTGAAACAAGCAAATTAGTATTTGAATATTACTTTCCCGAAATTTACTTGCTGGAACCCTGCAACCATATCTCCAGCCATGCTGACTGAAGGATTTTGGAAACTGCCATCCAAAAAGCAAACGTTCTGCTGATGCTTTCTGGTTCTTCACTGTTCAATAGCAGACCAGACATGACAGTTCATATGACCAGCTCGAGTGCACAAAAGCACTAAATGTATGAACTACTTGCAAATCAGATTTATTAATGTATGGCCACCATGATTACCAAATCAGTTTTGTCTCTATATTCAACTAACAGGAAGATACCATTGCATATTTCAATGGATCTCCACTAAAACTATGTACCTGTTCATGACCCATGTGCTCTCATAATTACATAAAAAGCTGCTGAGTTTGTGGCTCACATGACAAAAAAAATAAATAAGACAACTCATTCTTGATCAGTTGATCAAAGAAAAAAAATAACCAATATGAGTAGTCTCACATGTGGTCTGAAAAAAAAGTGCTCCCCATGACTGATGTAAACCTGGATATCTGCATTTATTTTAAAATGCAAAATGGCTAATGAAGAAATACTCCAGTCCTGTAGCATTGCTCATATTCAGTCTATTTGGCCACTAGGACACTTTTTTACAGTGCTGCCACTTCTGTCCATCTTACTGTTCATGACTTTCTCTTAAAAATCATCTTGTTATAGCTGGACAGAAATTCCAGTTTCATCTTTGTTATCTGAAGCTGAATTTGCCAGAGGCTTATATAACATCCATGCTGTAAAAGTAAAAATTATAGAAATTACCTTGGAACATGCAGCTGTAAAAGAGAAATGAAAAAAAAAGTATGATTACCCATCCGGCTTCTGAGAAAAACCATTTCCTAACAACTGATATAACTTTAAAAAGTAGATTTATAACCCATAAAGTAGCAAAGACATGAATGTATAAGACCTATTAGTTAACAGTATCAATATTAGTTGTAATAAGCCAGTTTCAAGAAACAAACATCTGTGCCTCATCTCTCATCCCCACCAATTAAAATCAGTGATTCTCAGCAGCTCCAAATTAGAAAGATGAAAGCCCTCACTGAGCCATAGAAGTAAAGAGATCTCTTTGAGTGGTCAGCTGACTGAAGACCAGCTGAAGGTCATTCCAACCACCAGACAAATGGGAACAAAAATCTTCCGCTAATATAGTAATGGTGCTTTGTTTGGAGAAAATATGACCCACAATTTACTCAGGCCTCTTGTCCATGAGCCCACATCAATCCCTAAACGCTCTCATACTAAGAAATGATGGTATTTCTTTCCAAGATTTCCAAAAGGGTTAGTTTCACCTCAGTTTTCATGGACTTTTTAAATAGGAGAAGAAGAGAGCCATGTAAGCTTCCCAGAGCCATTAGAGGTTATGAATGTAATATTAATCAATGAATGGTAACAGCTAAAATTTGCCTTCCCATTCTTTAGCTTCATCCTTCCCAATGGTAGAATTTTTAATATCATTAATGAAACCAGATACATATAGAAGCAATGTAACACTTACTTATGCCCATTAACATATATGCCATTTTGCTGTTGTTATAGGTCCAACATGACCCTCTAATTCCACATTTATCAACAGACCATAATGTACATGTATGGTCTATTGCAACACCAAACACAATTGGCCCAGGTATTGTTCCTGTAAAAGATAAGTGAAGTAGGATTAATGTAAATACAAAATCTAGCGGATGAACCTCTTTTGTAAAGTGGTAAATAAGGTATTTTAGGAATGCTGTACAAATGCTCCTAATCAAGATGGCACAGTAAAAACATCAGACAAACTTGTTCATATAAGTTTTGCTTAAGCAGTGCTATAAACATAACATTTATTAGTAAAGATAGATGAATGGACAGTTGCATAAAAAGAGAAAAGGAATAAAGTGTTTCATATTTTCAGTTTCAGAACTCTTGTTCTCAGCTCCCTGTATATCATAGTGCTTTCCCCCAAAAATGAACATCATCTTTATATGGATGTCTCTTGATCTAACCCTCTGAGAGTAGATAACTAGCCAGTGAAATAGTGTTTAAAATATATTTCTTATACTTTAACTAGTAACTGTAATAATTTGTATAGTGCAAAATTAGGCATATGTACTTAGAATTAAACTGCAAGAGCTTAGCAGAACTTATTTCCAGACAGAGGTTTCAAAGTAACATAACATTACAATGAAAGTGACAGAGCAAGTGAGAATGAAGTGACTTTTTTAAGTAATGGGTAACATTTTCTAGATATTGTTCAAGGTATATTTAAAGGGCATTTTAGACCCATTTTGGAATGATTTCTTTCAAGTTACACACCATTCTTTTAATTCTTTTTCCAGAAAAATTAATGGAAGCTAAAGGGGAAATCCAAGCCACAAATTATAATGCAAATTTATTTTTAATATTGGAGTGAGTAACAACAAATTACTTTGTAAATGCTGTAGTGTAAAATGGAGAAAATACTACTTAAATTAACTCTGTACATCAGTGCCTAGGTAAATCTGCATCCAAATAAATACACCTAGAATTACAGGCCAAACTAACAGAGAAAGAAGGAAGTTGTCAAAAATGAAAACTTTTGACTATTTCAGTACAACTTTAGCTTTTGCAGAATATTCTTTAAGAAAGATTTTCAGACAAACTTTCAAACAAAAAAGGGAAAAAAATCCCCATATTCAATCTAACTGATATTGGGAGGTGCCTAACTTGTGCTCCTATCCAGACGCCATTAGATGGAGTTGTCTTTCTATTTCCTTAGGCAGATATACAAACAATGGGATAGCATTTTGTGATACTAATCTAGGGGTCTTGGGAGAAAAAACAAATCTTGTGCCCCTCTCCAGCCAGCAATCATTGGGAAAATCTTCATGCAATCCCCCAAACAGCAAATGGGATGCAGAATCCCATGGCTCCTTTGGGTCTGCCCTAGTTCCATATTGCTAGGCTTCAAGGAAAATACAGATCATTATAATTCATTTTGTATCCATCAGCTGTAAGCAATCTGAAAATGTTAACTAATACTTTCAGGGAATTAGTTAAAGGTGTAGTCATATTCATTTGTTTACTTTTTTATTTAAAACAAACTTATTTTCAATGGCTAGCATTGTAGAGATGAACAATAACTGAATAATTTAATAATTGGTAATAAATACTGTCTACCTATCAGGAAAGCACCAACTGCACAAAGCAGTCTTCCCTAAATGAGTGCCCTCCGATTGTGTTGAGACTATGGTCCTATCTTCACTGTATAAAAATGTGACATAGGGAGTCCAAACAACAAAAATATTGTGTAAGGAGTCCAAATGATGCTTTATGATAATGCAGATTAATCTGGATTAATCCATATTAATGGAGGAATGTCCAGATCTTTGGAGATATGGGGTTCGCGGCGACTGCTCCCAAGATTGTCATCCACAATCTTAGCAGCAGTCTCCATGTATGCTCAAGCAGCCCATGGAGGAGGGATGGCAATGTCATCCTTCCCTCCCTCACCTGCTTTCCTAAGTTTAAAGTATTTAAAGGAGGCTCTTTGCCAATTTTGGAGGCTTCTAAGGGCTCTGAGTAACATCTAAATTATCTCCTCCCTTCTTCAGAATTCTGTCACATCATTTAGATGCAAAAGAGCAGCTCCCAGGCTTGGTATGGAGGCTTTTTAAAGCATTTTAAATCCAGGAAAGGGAACGAGGGAAGGCAGGGAAGGTGAGGTTGTGGCCTCCTGTAAATTTGGGCCAGTGTTGAAGGGCTCTATAATTCCTGTAACTCCATGGACAACGTTTGCTAAACCCAAACAAATTTGGATGCCATTGGTTCAGGGTTAGGACTGAATTCTATTTTCATTTTTTACCAGGCAACAGGAAAGCATTCTCCACTGCCCGTAATGCTAGCTTAAAGGGTGTACAGCAGGATTGCTGGTTCTCAAATACTTCTGTACTGTAATGCCTCACTGCTACATCTGACTACACACTTGCCATGGAAAATGAACACCTTACTCTGTCTAGTAGTAGAGTCATTCCCTACCTAATGATCTCAAATTTTTCATATAAAAGTATGATCTTCAGGTCCTCATGGTTCTTGAGAGTGGGACTATTTCTGTTTACAAAGGGATCTTGTAGTATCTCTGGGCATCTGATGAAGTAGAATTAAATCTGTGGAAGTCCATGCTACCACTCTCATTCACTTAGTCTTAAAGTACCCACAAAATCCCTTGTGTTAAACATGTGTTAAAAGATTTTTTAAAAAACATACCGATAATTCGTAGAAACAACATGTGAACACCCATAGCAAATGACCGGTTTGTTTCTGGTACACATCTGGAAAAGTTTGTAAAAGCAAGAATGGAGAGAATAATTGGTACCAAAGCTTTATCATATATAAAGTCATGTTTGAAGTTTAAGAATATGTCAATATTGCAACTTTAAAACTTTATTTCGGTTGTGGGGGTTGCTATTTCCAATTGGTATTTACCATTCAAAAGTAGGAACTTACTTTTTAAGGAAATCATAACCCCCCCCCCCCCCCATTTTTCAGGTTAAAAAAACCCTGGTTTACTTATGAATTTTAACTAGTTAACCAAATCCTTATGCTAAGTCTATGAGACGCAAAGAATTAAGAGTCCCTCCAGAACTGCAAGCACTATCTGTTGAGACTCAGGCAAATATTGATAATTTATTCACAGTGTCATTATTTATTTATTTATTTATTTCGAGGTTTTATATACCGACCCTCTCACCTTCAAAGAGGGATTCGGACCGGTTCACAACATGTGTTAACATACAAAGAATATACAATAACAACACAATGCCACTTCATTACACGATTAAAATATCAGCACCATACACATTAAAACATTATCATCACAGTTAAAAGAGCCAAATCGTCCAACACCATCACAATCCCATTCATCATCTCCTTTCATGTGGGCAAAGAATTAAATCAGTTGTCAAATGCCGCGTTCCACAACCAGGTCTTTGTTAGTTTCCTGAACGTCATGAGGGAGGGGGCAGTTCTGATCTCTAATGGCAGGGAGTTCCAAAGTCGAGGGGCCACCATCGAGAAGGCCCTGTCCCTCGTCCCCACCAGCCGTGCTTGTGCAGGCGGTGGGACCGAGAGCAGGGCCCCTCCAGACGATCTTAGTGGTCTTGATGGTTCGTAGGGGAGAATACGTTCGGAGAGGTAAACAGGGCCGGAGTCGTTTAGGGCTTTATAGGTTAACACCAGCACTTTGAATTGTGCTCGGAAGCTAATGGCAGCCAGTGGAGCTGGTGTAACAGCGGAGTGGTGTGCTCCCTGTACCCAGCACCCGTTAGTAATCTGGCTGCCGCACGTTGTACTTGCTGCAGCTTCCGGGCAGTCTTCAGAGGCAACCCCACGTAGAGAGCGATGTAATGAAGCAACCATTGGGGGGGGGGAGGTGTGTGTGTTGAATGCTCTCATTAAGGAGGCCAGACTTGGTGGAGGTGGTTGACAGGAGTGGAGCTGCAGGCTATTGAAGGTTGCTCTGCCCCCTGCTGTGCTCTTTGCTTCAGCGTGAGCTAGGAGGAAGGTTTCAACCCCCCCCCCCACCCCCCCAAAAAAATTTCAACCCTCCCCGAAATTTTTTTCTGGCTACGGCCCTGTTCACTACATTGTTTTTTTTAAAGAAAAATACAGTTTTCAGAAAGTCAGACATCTGATAATGAGTTACTTTAAGTACTGACCCAGACTAAGTTTTTGCTACACTCTGTTATCACTTCAACAACAAAATAGGTGTTATAAAACAAACTGTTCACAAAGTTTAAATATGTCTCAACTTGTATAGGTAGCACAAACTTTAATATTCTTAAATGAGTAGAAATTTTGTGAGCTTCCCAAATAATATCAGTTCAGGCCAAATCCAGCATCAACACAGATATTCTCAAGTTAAGCCATGGCACTCTGCTGAAGCTTTCGCTCTGATCTCACTGGATTATTTTTAAGGTTGATGTAGCCATGCATCAACCCCCAAGGACATATAATAACTAGGCCTGGTTGATCAAGAAAAAATTTGGTTCTAAAATCGATTTGTAATTGGGGTGTTTTTTTGTTTCGATATTTAAAATAATTACAAAATTTTCCCCCAAAAAAGTTTTGGTATTTACGAAATTTCGTAAATATTAACGAATTGATTCGTTAAGATGGCGGACCCCCGCGCATGCGCAAAATCACTTCCAAAGCTTCGTTATTGGCGCGGGGGTCGATTCGTTAAGGATATAACGAATTGATTCGTTAAAATGGCGGACGCGATTGCGCATGCGCGAAAGCGACTTCCGAAACTTCGTTATTAAATACGAATCGATTCGCTATTAAAATAATAACGAATCGATTCGTTAAAACGGCGGACGCGATTGCGCAATGCTAAATGCTCTATAAACAAAATCATTTCATAAAATAAATCAAATAAAATAATCAAAATAGAACAAGATATTAAGATATTAAATAAAAAAGTAATAAGATAAAGTATCCAAAACTGAGTCAATTTAATAATATAATGAAATAAACAATAATATAATAATAAAATTTAAATAAATAAAATATAAATAAATATAATAATAATAATAAAATAACAATAAATAATATAAAATTATATAATATATACAATATAAAATAAAATAATATAATATAATAATATATTGTTATATATATTATATAAATGAAATAAATAATAATATAAATATTTAAATAAAATATAATTAAATTTATAAAATATTTATAAAATATAATTATAAATAATAATAAAAATAATATATAAAATTAAATTATAAATTATTAATATATAAAAATAATGTTATTATAAAAACTTAGAAAGTAAATATAAGAAATAAATAAAGAAAAAGTAACAAAAAGTAACAGAAATTGCACTTTGAAAAAACTCTGAAAATTATCTGGGAAGTATTGCATACATACTAATTTCTGTAGCAGTATTGCAAGTTAAGTAAGAAGGACCAACTTCACATTTGGGGGTGGTGTATCTTAATGTGCATCCTTAGCCCTGTTGTGGCAAGATGCCTCATATCTTTTCCTCTGCTGACGCTCACACCGCAATGCCTGCAAACTGCCAAAGTGGCCCTCTCATTATGGATGTCGTAATGATCCCATAGGAGCGATCTCGGCCTACCCCTACTAGGCACTTCAGATGTACTCATGCTCGTGTTTGGACTGTCGGTGTTTGTGGAAGGGAGTATAATCGTTGGTTGTTTCTGTAGCTCGCCCTCCATCAGCATGCAGTCCTCTTGATCACTAATTCCTGTGGTGGAAGCACATTCCATCTTGTCTTCCTCCCATTCCTCTGACACGTCCGCCTCCTCGCCCTCCTCTTCATAACAAGTAATATCAGAGGTACTTGGAACGACAGGATCTGAACGTAGAGTCTTTTGAACTGATGAAGAAGAAGGTTCTGCCATCTCACAGCTGGTTGAAGCATCTGTGGGTGTATCAATAACCATCTCGTTGGATGAATGTTCCCTTCTTGTCAATGTGTTCATCTTCAGTCCCCTGCCTTTCTTCGGTATTTGCGATAGCACTTGGCCCTTGCGACTAGAAAAGCCGGGAAGGAAGCGTTTCATCACACTGGTTGGAACTACACAAATAATGAGCAAAAGGAGCGCACTGGTTGGAACTACACAAATAATGAGCAAGCAGTGTATGTAGCACTTTGTGTTGGCAAAAGGAGCGCACTGGTTGGAACTACACAAATGAGCGAGCAGTGTATGTAGCACTTTGTGTTGGCAAAAGGAGCGCACTGGTTGGAACTACACAAATGATGAGCGAGCAGTGTATGTAGCACTTTGTGTTGGCAAAAGGAGCGCACTGGTTGGAACTACACAAATGATGAGCGAGCAGTGTATGTAGCACTTTGTGTTGGCAAAAGGAGCGCACTGGTTGGAACTACACAAATGATGAGCGAGCAGTGTATGTAGCACTTTGTGTTGGCAAAAGGAGCGCACTGGTTGGAACTACACAAATGAGCGAGCACTGTATTATAGCACTTTGTGTTGGCAAAAGGAGCGCAATGGTTGGAACTACACAAATGAGCGAGCACTGTATTATAGCACTTTGTGTTGGCAAAAGGAGCGCACTGGTTGGAACTACACAAATGAGCGAGCACTGTATTATAGCACTTTGTGTTGGCAAAAGGAGCGCACTGGTTGGAACTACACAAATGATGAGCGAGCACTGTATGTAGCACTTTGTGTTGGCAAAAGGAGCGCACTGGTTGGAACTACACAAATGAGCGAGCAAGCACTGTATATTAGCACTTTGTGTTGGCAAAAGGAGCGCACTGGTTGGAACTACACAAATGAGCGAGCACTGTATTATAGCACTTTGTGTTGGCAAAAGGAGCGCACTGGTTGGAACTACACAAATGATGAGCGAGCAGTGTATGTAGCACTTTCTGTTGGCAAAAGGAGCGCACTGGTTGGAACTACACAAATGATGAGCGAGCAGTGTATGTAGCACTTTGTGTTGGCAAAAGGAGTGCACTGGTTGGAACTACACAAATGATGAGCGAGCAGTGTATGTAGCACTTTGTGTTGGCAAAAGGAGCGCACTGGTTGGAACTACACAAATGAGCGAGCAGTGTATGTAGCACTTTGTGTTGGCAAAAGGAGCGCACTGGTTGGAACTACACAAATGAGCGAGCAGTGTATGTAGCACTTTGTGTTGGCAAAAGGAGCGCACTGGTTGGAACTACACAAATGAGCGAGCAGTGTATGTAGCACTTTGTGTTGGCAAAAGGAGCGCACTGGTTGGAACTACACAAATGAGCGAGCAGCGAGCAGTGTATGTAGCACTTTGTGTTTGCAAAAGGAGCGCACTGGTTGGAACTACACAAATGAGAGCGAGCAGTGTATGTAGCACTTTGTGTTGGCAAAAGGAGCACACTGGTTGGAACTACACAAATGAGCGAGCAGTGTATTATAGCACTTTGTGTTGGCAAAAGGAGCGCACTGGTTGGAACTACACAAATGATGAGCGAGCAGTGTATAGCACTTTGTGTTGGCAAAAGGAGCGCACTGGTTGGAACTACACAAATGATGAGCGAGCACTGGATTATAGCACTTTCTGTTGGCAAAAGGAGCGCACTGGTTGGAACTACACAAATGAGCGAGCAGTGTATGTAGCACTTTGTGTTGGCAAAAGGAGCGCACTGGTTGGAACTACACAAATGATGAGCACGCACCCAACAGAAGTCTTTTTTTTTTTTTAGAATATTTTTTGTATTTTTTTAAGAATAAAAGAGGTATTTTTAGAAAATATTCAGAAATGGAAAATTAACCAAAAACTGGCCCTGATGTGGACCAAACACAGCCACGAGACAGGGCAAATGAGAGCACACAGCAACAGAAGAGTCTTTTCTTTTTTAGAATATTTTTTGTATTTTTTAAAAATAAAAGGCAGGTATTTTTAGAAAATATTCAGAAATGGAAAATTAACCAAAAACTGGCCCTGATGTGGACCAAACACAGCCACGAGACAGGGCAAATGAGAGCACACACAACAGAAGAGTCTTTTCTTTTTTAGAATATTTTTTGTATTTTTTAAGAATAAAAGGCAGGTATTTTTAGAAAATATTCAGAAATGGAAAATAAACCAAAAAATGGCCCTGATGTGGACCAAACACAGCCACGAGACAGGGCAAATGAGAGCACACACCAACAGAAGAGTCTTTTCTTTTTTAGAATATTTTTTGTATTTTTTTAAGAATAAAAGGCAGGTATTTTTAGAAAATATTCAGAAATGGAAACTTAACCAAAAACTGGCCCTGATGTAGAGCTAACACAGCCACGAGACAGGGCAAATGAGAGCACACAGCAACAGAAGAGTCTTTTCTTTTTTAGAATATTTTTTGTATTTTTTAAGAATAAAAGGCAGGTATTTTTAGAAAATATTCAAAAATGGAAACTTAACCAAAAACTGGCCCTGATGTGGACCAAACACAGCCACGAGACAGGGCAAAGAGAGCACACAGCAACAGAGAGTCTTTTCTTTTTTAGAATATTTTTTGTATTTTTTTAAGAATAAAAGAGAGGTATTTTTAGAAAATATTCAGAAATGGAAACTTAACCAAAAACTGGCCCTGATGTAGAGCAAACACAGCCACGAGACAGGGCAAACGAGAGCACACAACAACAGAAGAGTCTTTTCTTTTTTAGAATATTTTTTGTATTTTTTAAGAATAAAAGGCAGGTATTTTTAGAAAATAATCAAAAATGGAAACTTAACCAAAAACTGGCCCTGATGTGGACCAAACACAGCCACGAGACAGGGCAAAATGAGAGCACACAGCAACAGAAGAGTCTTTTCTTTTTTAGAATATTTTTTGTATTTTTTTAAGAATAAAAGACAGGTATTTTTAGAAAATATTAAAAAATATTTAAAAATGGAAAATTAACAAACAAATTCACAAAAACCGAAGGAAGGAATGAATCCAAGCAAGGAATAATAAGCACTAAGCAGCAAGGAATGAATCCAAGCAAGGAATGAGCAAGGAATGAATCCAATCCAAGCAGTTGCAAGCCAACCCAATGCAAACCCTCCCGGACCTCTTCTCTTCTCCCTCGCCTCTGCAGCAATGAGCTGTACGGCCGCGCGGAGCCGCTTTTAAAGGGCTCGCCGGCCAATCAGAAACAGCCACGGTGCACTGCTTGGGTGCTTGGGAGCGCCGGATTGGCTCCCAGGGCACCAGCAGCCTCCATCCCATTTACGAAACGGGCGGAAGCTCGTTAAAAGTATGGGGGATGCCGTTTCGTTATTTTTAAACCCTTCCGGGTTTGAAAATGTGTTTTGTTATCGTTTCGTAAATGCTAAAAATAACGAATATTTAACGAATTACAAAATTAACGAACGAAACCGCCCAGGCCTAATAATAACCATTGTCTGTATATACAATATTTTGGAAATGTTTTAACTATATAAAAGACATTTAGGTGATTTTTAAAAGGCTTTACAAATCTGATATAGAGAAAGTAACACAGCAACTACCTGAGAATGGCCACGGTTGTTGGTGTAACTGCCATAAAAGTAAAAACAACAGCTAGAAAGAAAAAGCTAAGGAACCAGGGCAGGACTGTACATTTGGATTTACATTTTCCCGACAAGGCTCCTTGGATGGTGTTCTCAATTACAACGGTGGGATTCCCTACACAGGAACAGTTGTTGTAGACCTAGAAACAATGCATGAAAGAATAATAGTACAGCAATAAAAGTAATTAGTCTGATTTTAACTTGTTTTAAATAAAGAAAATGTTTATTTATACCACACCTTTCTCCCCATAGTGACTCAAGGCAGCTAACATTCCACACTAGGCAAGTTTAAAGGTGTAATATAAAAGTTAAAAAGCAATTTAAAAAGCCACCCATGAAACTTTAATTTTAGATATTTTTTTAGACATCAAAACAAGTTATTAAAATTTACATGTTTAATATATTTTTACCCGGTGTATATTAATCATAGAATCATAGAGTTGGAAGTCCAAACCCCTGCCAGGAAACAGGAAAATTGCATTCAAAGCACTCCTGACAGATGGCCATCCAACCTCTGTTTAAAAGCTTCCAAAGACAGAGCTTCCGCCACACTCTGGGGCAGAGAGTTTCACTGCTGAACAGCTCTCACAGTTAGGAAGTTGTTCCTGTAGTCTGAAGCCATTGTTCTGTGTCCTAGTCTCCAGTAGAAAGCAAGCTAGCTCCCTCCTCCATCATGTCTCCTCTCAGCCTTCTCATTTTACAGTCCTCCTTTATATGGTTTGTCAATGGTATGCACTGTGGTTTGACTTCAGGACCCCACATGGATGCTTAAATCTCATTATATATAGAGTGATGTAGTAAAATGACATTCCTTATACAAAATGTCCAGCAACTCAAATGAGTGTCAGAGAAAATCTGAGGATTTCTGAAATGGTGGGAGGCTACAGCAGGGTATAACTACACTTCAGCATAGTGCTGATTACATAGCAAAATTAAGACTTCCAATTTTAATATATTTTTTGGGATTGTTGAAACTGTAGATACAAAGGGCTGGCTGTATTTTCCAACACGCATAATGCAAATGCTATCTTGTGTGTTTTTCCCTCAGTACTAAAAGAAATCATTGAATTAATTGAATTAATCTGCAAGTTACCGTATATTCTGGCATATAAGACGACTGGGCGTATAAGACGACCCCCAACCTTTCCAGTTAAAATATAGAGTTAAGACAACTCCCATGCATAAGACTACACCCGCGTATAAGACGACCCCTGACTTTTGAGAAGATTTTCTTGGGTTAAAAAGTAGTCTTATACGCCAGAATATACTGTAATAAAGCACAGACAAATCATCTAAATATTTTACATACCAAAAAAGGTGGATGTTACTTTCTCAGTTAATGGGGTAGTACCTTTGTATTTTTCTGAAGAATTGAAGATGTACATCCAGCATAACATGGAGAAAAATATTGGACTTCATCTGCCCCACAAACTGGTACAAATTCTGAAGGCATGCATCTACAGTGGGCATTGCATGGTGCGATTAGATTTGATAACATTCCTGTCCTAGAGCAGAGATTTAGAAATTAAACAGCTAAACAAATTCACAATTATTTAGAAAATACATGTGTAGAATATGCATTCAGAAAGATTTTCTCATTTTACCACTACCCCAAATGCCCCTCTTTTCCAATGCTTGTGACTTTTCCTTATCCATTTCTAATGAATTCAGCTACCAGTTGATTTGTTGTACTCTTAGATAGGTAGAATGATTGTACATTGCTTTTCTTTCATATCCACAAATCAACATTTGAGTGAATCCCAACTGAAGTACATACAAACCAATTGCTCCACTAATATCCCTTTATGATACCCTCCAGTCCTATTTCTCCCAGATCTCTCAACTCAATGGTCTAAATGCAATTCTTAGTCCCAGTTAAGGTAGATACAAAAAAGTGGAACATTCCAAAAAGGATCATTCTTCATCATTCTTTGTTTGTTTATATGATAATATATGGATGAAATACAGGAATTTCATTTTTTTCAGTGTTCTCAGTGGCTAAGGTGCTATCAAATTCCATACCTTCTGAACACTCTGGTGCATTCTTTTGTGAGACTCTTGCTTGAGGTTAGTAACTTTTAAGTATGTTTTCTTTTTATCTGTGACTTCCTCTTGTTGTAATACCTGTGTTGTATGCCAATTTTGTTGCTGTATACCAATAAAGGCTGTGTGTGTAGGTAGACTCACCCAACCAATTGGGTGAATCTGTTTTAGCATGGTGTAGTGGTTTGAGTGGTAGGGATCCTAAAAAGACTAAGGTTCTAATTCCCATCTGGTCAGGGAAGCCAATAGGTAATTTTGAGCAAGTAAAACTGCAGATAAAACAGTGAAAGTTTCCAAAAAGAAAAGAGGAAGAATGGGAAATCACATTTTGTTGCATGTAGAATGTAATATTTGCAAATACCAAGTGGTCTCTATTCCTATGGGAACTGCCATAAATACTGATATATTATATTATGATAGATAGATATTCTTTTGAAAAGAGCACATAGTTCTTTAAAACATACATACCCATTATATGTCTCGGAGACACCAGCAAATGGTTCATTCCCACATTTAGCGAATGCAAAAACTGTATTTAATAAAAGTGCGACCATACAAGTCAGGAGAATAAACCTGATAATATTTTTGCAACTCATCTTGAGCTTGGAAATCACAGTTCCACTTATAATTTGACCTATTGCTGCTCCTGGGACCAGTACAAGCCCTGGGGAAAAACAAGGCAACAACAATTATCAGATTAATAATTCAAGGCAAAATAAGACAATAAAAACATTCAAAAGGGAAACAGAAAAACTTTTTTTTTGAAGAAGAAGAAGCATCAAATTCTGCCCAATACTGAAAGTTAAGCATATTCAGCCCTGGTTAGTTCCTGAAAGACCACTAATGATTACTAGGTACAGTAGGCTATATTTGGGGAGATGAAACTGTCAAAACTATCTCTGAATACCCCTTGCTAAGAAAACTGTAAGCAACCTAGAATGAAAAGCACCTGAACTACACAACCACAAACTCACCTATTCAAGTTTAACTTGGAAGCATTTAAAGGAAAACAGAATCATAGAATCACTGAGTTGGAAGAGACCTCATGGGCCATCCAGTCCAACCCCCTGTCAAGAAGCAGGAAAATCACATTCAAAGCACCCACGACATATAGCTGTTCAGCTTCTGTTTAAAAGCCTCCAAAGAAGGCACCTCCAAGACACTCCGGGGCAGAGAGTTCCACTGTTGAACAGCTCTCACAGTCTGGAAGTTCTTCCTAATGTTCATAGAATTATAGATTCATAGAGTTGGGAGAAACCTTGTGCGCCATCCAGTCTAACCCCCTGCCAAGAAGCAGGAAAACTACATTCAAATCACCCTTGACAGATGGCCATCCAGCCTCTGTTTAAAAGCTTCCAAAGAAGGAGCCTCCACCATACTCTGGGGCAGAGAGTTCCACTGCTGAACAGCTGTCACAGTCAGAAAGTTCTTCCTAATGTTCAGATGGAATCTCCTTTCTTGTAGTTTGAAGCCATTGTTCCACGTCCTAGTCTCCAGGGCAACAGAAAACAAGCTTGCCCCCTACTCCCTGTGACTTCCTCTCACATATTTATACATGGCCATCATGTCTCCTCTCAGCCTTCTCTTCTTCAGGCTAAACATGCCCAGCTCTTTAAGCTGCTCCTCATAGGGCTTGTTCTCCAGACCCTTGATCATTTTAGTTGCCTTCCTCTGGACACACTCCAGCTTGTCAATATCTCTCTTCAATTGTGGTGCCCAGAATTGGACACAATATTCCAGGTGTGGTCTAACCAAGGCAGAATAGAGGGGTAGCATGACTTCCCTGGATCTAAACACTATACTCTTGTTTATGCAGGCCAAAATCCTTTTGGCTTTTTTGCAGCCATATCACATTGTTGGCTCATATTTAAGTTGAGCCAACAATGGGAGATAGGAGATTCCATTCATCCTTCACTCTGGAATCATATCTGTACCATATCAAAAAGCAATAAAATGTAGACAAGGAGTGTAGAATGAATGCTATTTGTCACTTCTTCAATTGCCATGGCTCAGTTCTATGTAATCCTAGGAACATCCTACATCAGCTTGGTAAGGCACTAGCACTCTTTCACAGAGACGGTAACGCCCTTGTAAAACTACAACTTCCACTATTCTGTTGCATTTGCCATGGCAGTTAACATGGTGTCAAACTGCATTCATTCTACGGTGTAGATGTATCCCATATTGCCCTTTTATGCTGACAAGAATATGATGCACCCCGGGAGTTGCAGTCAGTCATTCTGTTAGTGATATGTATGCACATAAGTACCACTTACATGAGTGCATGTTCCTTTTTGGCTAGCAGGCAGGGGGCTAGTCTCTTGTCCTTATATTCTACCTAAGCATCTGATGCCCTCCCTGCTTCCCATGGTAAGAAGGAGCATTCCCTCTCAATGCTTGAAAGCTGCTGCAGGGTGCAATTTGGAAGTGCATGGGCAGAGCAAATCTCTGTTGTAGATTTCAGATGTAATTTCACTTCCTTCCTGATCAGCTATGGAAAACGTATTTAAAAATAAATCCCAACAAATTCAGAAAGAACTATTTCCAAGTAAAAATGATTAGCACTGCAGTCTTTGCATTCTTGATCTGTTTTCATTCTGTTCTTATTGTTCAACCAATGAACACACACAAACCAAACAGATTACCTCCTAAGGTAGCAGAATAACTAGAGGTATATCCAAACTGATTTTCAATAAATTTGGGCAAGAAAGTTGCAAAGCCAGTGGCAACTAAAGCTTCCAACGAAGCAGCTATTACGAGACACATGAGCACAGGGTTATGGAGCAGCATCTGGAAATGGGAACAAGAAAAAACAATAATTACAGCTCATCCCACACACATTCATTATGCTTTTGAAATCACTGTATCCAATGCACCAAATGCAGTAGCAGATAGTTGTATTCCTGACAGATAATTGCATCAAGTGACAACTCTTAATTTTTAAAATGACATGGGTTGGGGGGGGGGGGCACAAAGCCCCTGTGAAAGTGAAAAACAGTAAATAAAGAAATTGTTCTTCTATGGTCAACTTCCACTGGGCACTAAACACAGAATCACATTGGAGGACTTAGGGATTCATAGAGAGGCATTCTCTTTAGAAATCTCAAGGTCCTCAGCATGATTGGAGAAAGTTGGCCATATAATCTAGAGAGAACATTTTAAATCAAATCTTTTAACTATCAAATCCACAAAAGTCAAAACCACTAATGTGGAGGGGTTACTATACTTTTTTTCTGCTCAGGTTGCTTTTCAAATCTTTTATTAATATTTCCTCTCAAGTCTGATGATCTTCCTCAAAACAATATTAATATTATTGGTCCACGAGTCTGAATACAGTTCATAAAGCTCAAACAACATTTTACATTATTGAAATATTTTTCTTTGTCTGGTTGTTTCACTGCTGAAGAACATGATCAGAACTTAATGAAGGGGGGAAATGATATGTTGCTAGCAGATTGGCTTTGCCTGAGTTGAAGCTTGGAAAAGTTATTTTGATGACAACTCCCAAAATCCCCCAACCAACAGGAAATTTGGGGAGTTGTAACAAAAAAAACCTAACTTTTCCAAGACTGAAATATTTAAGATCCACTTTCTTGAAAGTATTTTTTTATTATTTTATTAAAGTATTTCTAAAATGACCCTACATCACAAGCGCTTCAAAATGACAACGTTAACGTAGGACAATGTAAAACAATAAATATAATTTAAATTGACTCAAAATGTATTAAGCATCTTGATAACTTAAATCAGGTTTAAAAGTTTGAAACACTTAAAAAACATATATAAAATATTCAATAAATCAGGTCCAAAGCCTGTTAATAAAAAGCCATATTTTTATTTGGCACCTATATAAAGCTAGTGTTAATATATTAATACATTCTCCTATAAAAATGTATTAATCAAATTCACAAATCATCAAATGTGCAAAAGTTAGATCTGCATATGTGGAGATCCAACTGTATATCATGTATTGAGCTCACTGGTGGAACACAGAAGGTATCCACAAGCCCAAAGTAGACCACAGTTCTTGGACAGCCATGCATAGGTATCCATTGCTCTGCTGGTAATTAGAAAGCCTCTTATCTCAGAATTTGTGTTTGGGGGGAGAGAGAGAAATCTGAGGTGGCCCCAAGGCTTTGGGAATAATCCATTTCAGTTCAGAACACCAGGGATAAATGCATTATCTCTGAAGAACTGTGAATTTCTCCAAATGGGTTCTCGTCCAAGCTGAATAGAGTAGGCATTTTGTACTCATACTAACCTTGCTTTTAATATTTCTTTGTTATAATAGTAGGGTGATTGAAAATTCCTTCTGTGCACATTACTTGATTTTCAAGAATTAATATTACTTTTACTTTGGTTTTAAGAAAATGGTGAAAATGAAAACAGTATTATGGTAAGCGGCTGCATGCTGGGAAGCAAGGCTAATTAGTGATATTTAAACCTGCCATTCTAATGTGGAAAAAAAAGATTTTAGTAATAAAAGAGGTTATTTGTAGTTGATGCATTTATCCTCTTGGCTTTTGATTATATTCTATTCATTGATTTGTTTAGAGACCTAAAGTGGTGTCAAACTGCATTAATTATACAGTGTAGATGCACTTTCAATGACTGTCTCCTTCCTCTATTTCCCTATTTCCCTATCTGTCCTCCATTAGACCATATATAAAGCTACTTTTAGATACCTTACAAAGAAGACCACATTTTTCTTCTCTCTGTATTGGGGGAGGGGTCATGGGACTGCTTATGTTCTGCCTTTCCAATCTAATTACACTGCTACAGAGATCGCCTACTTCTCTCACACATTTTCTAACAAGTGAGAGTGTAAAGTGTAAACAGTGTGAAGCAGAAATTTCTCCTGCATGTTCCCCTTCCAATATTTGATAGTAGTTTCCACATTATCTCCCAGTTTTTAATTTTCCATACTAAACGTACTCATTTCTTTCAAGCAACACTGACCAAACTTGCAACTTCATCACATGGGTTTTTTCCCCATCCTAGGATGCTGCCAAGACATAGCCAGGATGGAGCCTATCACATGACACAGGGCTACTTCTGGTGGGGCTCCATCCCAGCACCTTCTCAGAAGCGTCTCAGCAGCATGTTTAGAGGCTGCCCTGAGAACACAGGTGACCACCCATGTTCTCATTGACTAAACTAGGGACAGCATGGGACAAATCCAGGGGCAGACAGGAAACAGCATGGGATGATAAGGGGGTGATGTGTGGTGCTGTCCAATAGTTTCCCCAGCTATTCTACATATTCACTCTACTGCCCCATGGATCCCCCCACTGTCCCCTAGCTTATGCACCTCCGTCTGATGAGGTTCCTATTTTCCACCGCCCTCAGAATCGTGATTCAGGTTGCCAATCTTGCATAAACCCCAGTGTATCCATCAGCCACAAATTCAAGGATATTATATAGCTATCATGTTATAGAGAACAGCAAATTAAAAGAACCAAACACACACAAAACTTAAAAACTGCCTTGAACGTTGCTTCAGATTCATTTTTATATTACCCAGAGAGTCAATATAAGGTTTTTGAAATTATTGCCGGTATAGTCAACATTAATGACTCCTCCATGTGCTTCAGAAATTTTTTCAGCTTGTATTTTGTGTGTACCTAGAAGAAGAAAACAGTGACACGTTTCCACTTATATCAACAACAACAACAACAACAACAATTTATAACGGTCCATAGACCCATCAGTAAAACCAATAATCATTATAAAGTTCTTCCATCTCAGAACTTATATCAGGAACTACCATATAAAAGAAGACAGAAAACTTTAAAAGATATTAGACGTGGTTTTTTAAAATGAATTTAAAAATTCAAGCTATTATTATTATATTTATTTATACCCCGCTTTATCCCCCCAAAGAGGACTCAAAGCAGCTTAACATAAAAGCATCAGTATAACAATTTAAATATACAAATGTGCAAACAGTAAAACAGGATTAAGTATAAGCAGTATTAAAAAAATTCCAATTAAAAACTATTAAAACCAAGTTTAAAAACAAGCTAAGGTCTTATGTTCCATTTGGATCAGTCTGTTTGCTTGAATGTGCCTATGTATCCCCCAAATCCTTCTGTCATCCAGAATAAACATCATAATTTCATCCTTTTAGACAAATGTAAACGGCTATGGGAAGTTTCCTTTGTCTATCTCTGGGTGTGCTACTGCATTGTAGAATTAAAGCAGTTTAAAACATCATTCAATTTTGTCGAATCATAGAAGTTTTCCAAGATCTTTACCCTTCTCTGCCAAAGCATGAGATTGCCTCACCAAACTACAAATTCCATTATTCCATAGTATTGAGTCATGGTAGTTAAAGTGGTGCCAAACTGCATTAATTCAACAGTGTAGATGCACCCTTTAGTTTCCTTAAGGTAGCATTTCAAATTATATTACATCTTATGGACTCACAACATGCTTTTCCTACTGCTATCTGCAACCAGCAGGCATTGGTTTGCATCCCATAGTCAGCTTGAACTTCCTCCTCCAGTTCAACTTGTCTAGGACCTCATCACAAAGAGGTCAAGAAGTGTCTTTTCCGTGCTTCTCTGCCTTGCTGGCATGTTGCCAGCATAGAGTTCCCCGGAGCCCATCCTATGATGCAAAACTACTTCTGGTGGGGCTAAAGATCTTGTAAATCTCATAGAAGAAGCCAGGGACAACAGCAGGCCCATAGCCAGGATTTTGATTCGGGGGGAGCTGAGTTTGATTTGGGGGGGGGGGGTGAGTCTGAGTGAAAGAGGGTCTACCCTAGCAAACCTTTTGTATCGTTACCCCAATACCCATGCATATGAGATATATTGAGCATGGTGATCAGATCATGATATGAATAAACATAACAGTTTAAATAATGTACCAGTAAGGCCTTCTCGCAGACCACCATGAAAATTGGGGGGGGGGGAGGCTGAAGCCCCTCAAGGCTACATGCCTGGACAGCAGGGAAACATCATGGGAAGGGATTCCATAATAGTAAGGAAACACAACATTACTCTGCTCCACAGTTTTCCCCACTTAGTCTTTTACAGATTAGAGAAGGGATTTTGAAAAAAAAACCCTATGTCTTTGAGAAACTTTATATGCTAGAAGAAATGTCCTCTTTCGGATTGTAAATCATAAGAAGACTCCTTCTTCTGACAGATGTGCTTCTTGAAGGACAGCCCTGCCATTAGATACAGAGAGGCTTGCCTTAGGCAGAGGATTCTGAATGTTATATAAGGGTAGCAAATTATTAGCTATTTGTTAGTATTATATCTACCGCCAAGGAAGCGTGGAAATGTGCTTATGGGATTTCGACCTCACAGAGCAAGGCTCCCTCAGCTGGCTTTGCATATCACATATCTTCAGTTGACTAGAGGGCACCATTTGCTAAACTATTTGTTTCAAGTGTATATGAGTCCTGCCCTGACTTGTTGTGACTATTTTTGCAAATTGGCTAGTATTTTTCGGTATACAAGAATTTGAATTCATTTGGCCAAAGCTATATCAGATTACATGTTTGAGAGAGGTTGTGCTTCTCTGCCTTTTTTAAACTTCTCTTTTCTTCATATCAATCTTTGTGTCTTGACTATCATATCTGACTTCCTTATATACTTTTTAAAACCTTGTAAAATGTTTTGTGTGTGTTTTTACCATGCTTCTCAATCAAAAGGCTCTAGGATTGGTTCAAATGATATTAAAATTCACAACCCCTTCTGATAGGCTGTGTGCATGTTGCCTGTCAACTTATGGTGGCCCTATATATTTCATAGGGTTCTCTAAGCCCAGGAATACTCAGAGGTAGTTTTTGCCAGTTCCTTCTTCTAAAATTTAGCCTACAGCTTCTAGTATTCCTCAATGGTCTTCCATCCAAGCACTAACAAGGGCCTCCCCTTAGCTTCCAGGATCAGATGGAATCTCCTGCATTTAGTGGCTTCATATCTAAAAACATATGCACAATCCCATGAATCCTAAAATTCCACTTTTCATATCTTCTTGTTGCTTGGGAATTTTGGGGAAAGGGTGATCTTTGAGATCATAACCTTTTGAAAAACCAGACTCTCCAATGCCTTTTGGAAGCATGATCTTTTGGAAATTAATTGGCACTCACTACCATTTGGAATGATCATAACCTTTTTGGAAAGTATGATCTTCCTGAGAAAAGCTAAAAACTCATTTGAGTAAATCTTCTCTTTAGTGGTATATATCCACTAGTATTCATGCATGGCAAATTAGATTTCTCAGCTGTTAGACTGATATACCTGGTTATCTCTCTGAACTGTTAGGAACAAAGATTATGCCAATGCACCAAATATATAGAAAATCTTTAGAAGGGTTATTTCAGTTGCTTTGAACATTTACTCTCTCATAAAATATATTTGGTTTTAAATCATGCTCACAAGAGACAAAAATAAGTAGTCTTCATTAAAATAACATAGTTGGTTTACTTCATGTATTCAGCATACAGTTACATTACTTATCAGTTGAAAGTTTTAAAAAGTTCTCTAAGACATTATGTTGCAGTTTCTTCCCTGTCTTATGTCTAATGCATAACAAACACTGACAATACAATACAAGACAATACTAATTTTTAAAATGGAATCTGAGTCTGAATAGTCCCAGATCTGATCACATGATTTGCAGTCCCTCCCACAACCTCAAGTAACATAGAGTTAAGGGAAAACTGCATACCAACACACATATAATATAGTAAGCAATCTGAATTATGTACATAACAAATAAATAGTTTAGGAGGCTTATAGAAGGTTGCTATTTTTTGACAAGGAGTTCAACTTATGTCCTTATTTTCATCAGTAAAATGTTACAAGGTGGGAAGGAGAGAAAAGAGAGATGCAAATTGAAGCATCTTTCAGTAGCACCTTTGCATTCTATTTCATTTCTCTTTGGTGTTAGCCTGCTAGGCTGCTGGTGCTGGCAGTTGCAGGAAAAAAAATTAATGGAGATGATATTTCAAGGTAAGCTTTATTGTCTTATTACAAATATCCTTGGTGTTCACATACATTTCTCTCTTACTCTATCATCTTGAACAGTGTGTTAAGAGGTAAGTGGTTGTTTTCATAATTACTGAGGTCTTATTTAGTTCTTTTAGGGTTATTTCTAAATATTGTGGTTATTTTGTGAAGGCCTGCAGGGCAGTAGCTGGGTTTTTTAAAGTTTGTTTTATAAGGGAACAGAATGGGCTAGACCTGTAAACTAACTCCGAAGTCAAATCATCCACAGAAAATTACAGAACAGTACTTTAATGACTGAAAGATGAACCAAATGGAAATCCTACAGGAGATATACAGTATTTATTGTTACCTCCATTTTCCCAAACTGGTGGCTTGGTGTTTCTGCTAGAATCACTGCGTTGTATACCTCAAGAACTGTCAATATTACAGTACAAAATAGCTTGCAATAATCCCACAGACTCCATATGGCTTCAGATTCCATATTTCATAACCACCTGTGGCTTTTAAGATTCCTGAGGATCATTGCTTCAACTTGTGTGATTTCAGTGTTGGACAAGGACTCTGAGGGTCCAGAGTTAGAATGCCCTCTTGGCCATGGAAACTCACTGGATTATCTTGAGCAAATCACAATCTCTCCTCTTAAAATGACGATAATAGCAAACCCCTAGGAGAGGGTTCCCACAAGTCAGAATTGACTTGAATACACAAAATAACAACTATGTTCTGATGTCATAGGAAATAATCTTAGAAACAAATAACAAACTGTAAAGCAATGTTTCTCTGACCTCTGAAATATAGAGGTGATAACTAAATAGCTACAATGAAGACATAGGCAGGCCAGAACATTATGTTTAAAATCATTTCATTCTCAGCTTTAAGAGTTCTAAATTCATACAAAGGCCTGTCAGAATTAGAGCATTTATCTCTTACTTTCAAACACTTATTTACCTGGCAAATGCTTTGGGAAATATGAAAACGGTGCTACTAAAAGGCAAGTAGCAAAGCTGCATACAACAAATGCTATCCACCAAGCTCCAACCCAGCGTGGATCTGTGGGAGTGATGTCTATGCTAAAACAATATAATAAGCTCAGATTTAATAAAGGCATGATTGTAACAGAGTCAGTACATTACAAATCAGTACATTTTCTGCTAGACAAGTTATAAATATTTGCTTCTTTGTCACAGCCTCAGCCCCTTTTACCCATGCTGAGAACAATTACATAAACAGAAGCATCTTTGCCTCACCAGCTTGGGAAATCACTATGTTTTAAAGTTCTGAGAGCACTTAGTAACTGATTTAAGCTAAACATTGTTTTCCTATTTTTATTGGTTAAACAAATGGTTGAAAGACAATTGCATGATCTAATAAGGACGATATTTCAAAAAAACTCAGCATAGGATAGTTGTTGCATACAAGGAATTCCTAGATCCACCCTCACCACCGACTGGGCTTTCTGTGCCTAGTGAAAACTAAAGGGCATCACAAAGGCATTTGACTATATATCTGTAGCCAAACATAATGTGAAGTCTCCAAGAAACCTCCACGGATGATGTAATCATTGCATATATGGTATGGAATCCAGTAAGAGCAGGCTGAGCTCCCTCTTTCACCTCCAACTATCCTTATGAGGACATGAGGGAAGCCTCCCATGAGAGAAGATGGTAAAACATCAAACATCCAGGTGTCCCCTGGGCAACATCCTTGCAGACGGCCAATTCTCTCACACTAGAAGCAACTTGCAGTTCCTCCTGACATGAAAAAAGGTACAAGGACACAGCCAGATGCTTCTGCAATTCCCTCTGCTTTCCAGTAGATACAGAAATATGGGGATGGACAGAAAGTCTATGGCAGTGGTTCTCAACCTGTGGTCCCCAGATGTTTTTGGCCTACAACTCCCAGAAATCCCAGCCAGTTTGCCAGCTGTTAGAATTTCTGGGAGTTGAAGGCCAAAAACATCTGGGGACCCCAGGTTGAGAACCACTGGTCTATGGAAACAAATGGGGGAGGGGTTGTTGGTCAATGTAGATTGAAGAAGGGAATATCAACCTCCCCAGTGGCCAAAAATAATGCATACACAACATAAGGTTAATTTACATTTGTGTATACCACTCACAGGATGCTAGCCCACATCTCCTGATCCCAGCTCAATCACAATTGTTATATATAATCAAATCACTCTTCTTTCCCCACCACTTCACCCACTCTGCACAGAATATTATACAAAATAAAATTATTGTTAAGAAAAATTGAATTCTAGGGTTAGTACAACAGATGTGTGTAAAAGAACAAAGAAACATCCTTGCCTTACTTGACGATTGAAATCAACATAGACATTAAGCAACTGCCCTCCTAGTACGTAACCAATAGCAGGACCCAGAAGCGACATGGCGTAACCAATGCCTGTAGAGAAGGACAATAGTTTATGGGTCAAATCACTGACATGACTATTGCAGAGATAACAAAACACAAAACTTACCTGGATTCCCTGTAACCCAATCTGATGATAGAGAGCTGAGATGGGGATTATGTCAACTTCTGTATACTGTTGGATTATAGCTCCAAGCATCCTTCACCATTGTCTGTGTTAGCTAGGGCTTATGGCAAGTGCATGTAAAAATTTATACCTTTTTGGCACATGCAAAAAAAATTTCTACACAGAAAAAAAAACATTTTGGCACTCAAAATGCTATTTTCTATGCTAACCTCCATGTGTGGATTTTTCACAGAATAAGTCCTGAGCTATGAATAATGAACATAAACTGCACAGTTTGAGGATTTTCTCACAGTGGGGAGAAAACAATACAATTTTTCCTGGCCAGAAGAACAAAATGTATGAAGATTCATATTTCTAGTTTGAGGGTGGCAAATACACAATGAATACATATGCTTCATGTTTACAATAGTTCCTGTATTGTTGTTTATTTCCCTCCTTCTATAGGGCAGCGCTCAAGTGCATTCAGTGGTGGCTTCCACAACACTGAATCTTTTTCTGGCTTTCAGTTCAAAGTTTGAAAGGGTTTTCCAATGTGTACGACTCTTTGGGGAAATAAAGATGGGTAGAATTTGTGGAGTGTCACTTTTGGAGTTTCCTGTGCAAACCGGAAAAGAAGGTAACAATATGCTAAGATGTGAATGGACATGACCGGAGAATGTGGTGTACATATTTTGCAAATAAAGCTACAGTGCCACTTTCGTTGAAATTTGAATTGATGAGTCTGGTGTTTTTCCAACTTCGTGCCTTCAAGAAGTTCCTTGCAGGGTCAAAACAACTGAGATAACAGGAGATTTATTTCAATTTTCCTGATACAACTGAAATTTGATAATTATTCTGAAAGGATAATTATCTTTTCTCCTATTTTTTAACTAGAAAGATTAAAAAGAGCAACTGAAATATGATAATTATTCTGAAAGGATGAAGCTGTCAATTCTGCAACGTTACTCATATTTTTTTAAAAAAAAGTTCAAGCCCTCTTGTGAACGAAACAAAGCTGATGTACATGAACAATCAGAAAACAAAGGTGTCACTATCTCAGCAACCCATATGGATAATTTTGGGTTTTAGAGTATTTTAGAGTCCTGGCTATTGGATGCTCAACATGTAGTAGCAAATAAATCCAGTTGAATAGTCCTGGTGGTGAATTAATTCGTCTCAGCAGTTGTGAACAAAGCAGTTGTGACACAATGAATAAACTTTCAAAAGTTGGCAGATGACAGAGATAAATGGAAATTTCTTGGGGGAAAAAATAACTAAGCTTACCTATGTAGACTGAAGCTTGGTGTTTTGGGACACTATCATCAATGAAAGTTGTTCCCAGTGTGTAAAGGGGAGTTCCTCCTGCTCCCAAGATGAGCTGGGCCAGCAGAAAGACAAAGAAGTAGTTGGTGAGTTTAGATCTTTTTTGGCCAGTGCATGTTCCATTCTGAATTGCAGATTCAGGTAGAGGACAAATATCTAGAAAGATAAGGTTGTAAATCAACAATGAAAAGTTTTTTACTTAGGTATGATTTCTCACAAGTCCATAGCTGTCTGAATAATCACAGGGCCTAAAAGCTGATTCATAACCCTGAAGAAGACACAGAACAGCATTGCAATCAACACACTGAAGAGCAAAGCATAAACATTCAGCAGGTGGGCTAATGGTTCATCTCTCCTCTTGGACCCCTGAGCTAAGCTACTTCAGCTTCCACATGGTCATTTAGTAACTGATGAAGATCTGGAGCAGAATCGGAGAAGAATCTAGATATCTCCCCATGTCATCATCATCTGAGATCTGCCAGGATCCTTCAGAGATCTCAGGTGATGATGTACCAACACCCCTAACTATGAAGACAAAGCCAGATGTTTTTCTAATCATATCCCACTCTCCATCAACCACTGAAGGGAGGCTGCAGCCCCTAAATGGAAAGTTGTGGAGGGTCCTTTGGTTTTAGAATAAGAAGAAAGAGTACCAGTATCTATGTCCACAACCATTAAAAAAACGTATCCAAGGCTTATGTCTGATGTACATTTGCATATGTAATAGAATCCCATCCAGATCCCATCCTATTTAGAATAACCTGCCACTTGGGAACCAAATGTCTTTAGAATGGATAGAAAGAACAAGGAATGGAAACCAATCAGCACAGATAAAAATGAAACTATCTGCTTCATTGCCTCCCACTACCAACTCCATATACAAGGCAGAGATAACAGCATCATCCATTAGAAAATTGTGGTGAGAAGAGGTGATATAATATCCTGTTCCTGCGATACTCAGAAAATGTATGACAAATCCTAATTTACCATTACTATGAAATACAGTTAACTGATTATGTCTTTTATTTGACGGCGTTGGTTAAATAACAAAAAATGAATGGATACTAGGAAATGGTAACTGCATAGGATGTAGCCATTCCTGCATGAAGGTCATTGGGTTTTCATGTTGATACATTTTAATCCTGGCTGTACAGTATTTCATGAAAAAAATAGGACATGAAAGCCATGCCCACATCGCATGGCACGAAAAAGATCCAACACAATTGTTCTTTGTTTGTTTGTTCATTTTGGGTTCAATATATTTAAAAAAATGGAGGTAAGATTATAAGTCACACAAGGTAATAATATTGGATAATGCATGTCACTAACATAATACGAGAGAACCACAACACCTACTGCAATGTATTCTGCAACCAATAAAACATATCCCCATTCAGGGCTCGAGCCAGGTATTCCTTCTAAGATGGGCATTTCACTCTGCCCCCCCCCCACCCTCCAAATGCCCTTTCCCTCCTGACCACACTCTCTATGTGGTGTTTCCTGCTTCTTTCAAAGTAGCCCCATTTTGGTTAAAAATCAGAGAAACAAACACCACCTGAGTTTCTTATTGGAAAGTTAAAATAAGGAAAGCCACTAGAGGGAGCTCCCTTTTTGTTCAACTGAAAAATGAAGATCATTTAATAAAACAACATTGGGCTCATGATTATTGCCTGTCCAGAGGTGGGAGAGATAGGGAATGAAAGACAGGAAGAGAAAGGAGAGAAGGAAGAGAAAGTAATAAGTGATTGGTTCGATTTTTAGATACCTCTAGGGTTTTTCCCCCAAATGAAATTACAAATTATCATTCATTCTAACTTTTCTAATATGGCAAGGCAGTGATACATATTATCTTAAACTAGAAGTGCATCTACACTGTAGAATAATGTAGTTTTACACCACTTTAACTGCAGTACCTAAATGCTATAAAATCCTGGGAATTTCAGTTTAGTGAGCAGCAGTATTTGGCAGAGAAGGCTTAAGACTTTGGAAAATTACAACTCCAATGATTCCATAGTATTAAGCCATGGTGTTACAGTTAAATTACTGCATTAATTCTGCAATATAGCTACACCCACTGACTGCACATTTCTAGTGACATGGCTATTTCTATGCGAAACAAGGGGCAAACCAGGTATCAAGGATTCTCAAGTGGAGAATTGAAAAGGAGCTTTAATTATATCAATTCTGGGCCTCCTACCAGTGAAAGCAAACTAATCAGTGTCCAGAATAAGGTACCATTCCTATTCCTGTAGCTCTGTATGAAAACTTAAGAAAATTAACACATGCATCAAGAGATAGCAGTAGTGTGGAGTCTTATCCTGCCTCTCTGAACCTCACTGAGGCTTCAGGCAAAGCACAACACAGTTAAAAACACATAATTATAAAACATCATTTAAAATACATATATTAAAATTATGGATTATTTTATGTGCAATTGTTTATTTTAATCTTATTTTTCTGTGTTTTTAATGTATGTGTTTTAGTTATTTATTATATTTTAATTCCAAACTGTACCCTGCATCAAGCCTTGGGGAAAGTTGAATTCCGGAAAAAATTGCTATCACCTTGCCTTAAAAAAAAACTTGGACCAGTCCAGGCAATGGAGGGCTCGAAATCTAATTCCTCATCATTGATTCTTGACACTCTGCTCCTAAAATCTCATTCTATCACACTTCATTTCCTGCTTTTATGGAAAACTAAGAAATGTTCCTGAAAATTAAGCATGTAACTATCAGATGCCTACTGTAATGTGTACAATAATACTTGTGCTCAGAACAAATCATAATTGTTGATCTTTCACTTCAGCCCTAATGGGTTAAACCCTTGTGCTGGCAGGACTAAGATTTGAATCCGGGGAGAGTGCAGATGAGCTTCCTCTGTCAGCTCCAGCTCCCCATGCAAGGACATGAGAGAAGACTCCCACAAGGATGGTAAAATATCAAAACATCTGGATGGCCCCTGGGCAACATCCTTGCAGACAGCCAATTCTCTCACATCAGAAGCGACTTGCAGTTTCTCAAGCCGCTCCTCACACACACACACACACACACACAAAACTTCAGCCCCAAGTTGTGGTCACTGTTAGTGTATTTTGGTTGGCATTCATTATTCGTTTCCTGTCAGAGTTACAATCCGGTATAAAACTCAAAATGGCAATCTACCAAGGTGAAGATTGATTGAGATCTATTTGAGAAGGTCAGCAGTACCTATTCAGACCAAGTTGTACATACCCACTACTCATTCTGATACTCATTAACTCCACTGGTGATCAAGAGTAACAGGATTACATTTGCTTGTGCCAGAATCTCCAAGAATAAGATTACACTATTTTGTGACAATCCATTTGTAATAAGAACCCACAAATGAGAGTTAAAGCCTTACATGGACCTCTTCTTTCACAAACAATATGTCATTGCAGCTGAAAAGAGATTAGCTTTCATTTAGGCTGGCAGCTTTGGTTTCTTGGTAATCAGCCAAAAACACATTACGTTTTAATGGTCTCTAAATTGCAGGAATCCAGATAACCTAGACAACAGTGTACAGCTCCAACTGAACACATTCTCTTTCCTTTGTTATTGAACAGAGAGGCTCCACGGATTTGGTTCAGGTAACAGTGTTGATTTATGGTACAATTACTGAAATACAATTAATGTGCTGGTACAACATGGTGTTTTCATTGTGTATTTAATACAACATAGAGTTTTCCCAACCTTAAGAACATCTAAGAATATAAAAATGAAACAATATGCTCTTAAATATGAAGGATATATCAATGAGATGTTTCTGATTTATTTGTGATTTTCAAGGCCAACCCAATATATTTTGCTGCCTGAAATGAAAGGTAAGATGTTGTCCTCTCCCTATTTCATCATTGGGAGCTAGGGGGACTTATTTCAGTAATTGAAGTGTATAATATTCTCTAACACAGCTATGACAGTTTGCTAATTTAGGGGGTTATGTGGCAGATACAATTCAGTAATCTGACTGAGGGAACAGCCAAGATTTTTAGGAGGGAGTTCCCATAAAGTACCCAGAAACGTATCACCTGAAGTGATCCCCCCCGCCCATCTCTAGTGACCATCTCACCTAATACAGTTGTCTCACTCATCCTAATGATAGCACCAACCTTGATGCTATCGCACTTTTCAGTTAAAGAAAACTCAGTTCAACAAACAAAGACATTTAGGGAACTGTGAATGTAACATGCACATAAGTAAGGCCCATTCTCTTCTTAATATTAGAACTCTGAAACACAAACCTATCTGCAAAGTTTTATATTTGGTAACTTAACAGTGTAGTTAGGAATGGCAAAAACCAAAGAAATGAGTAGCACTAGGAAAATGTCTCAAATCAGACACAGTGTTCAGAACAGTAACTTTTTAAGTATCGTATATATTTGAGTAAAAGCCAAGTTTTTCAGTACTTTTTAGGCTGAAAAAGCCCCCCTTGGATTATACTCAAGTCAAAGTTATTTATCATTTTACTCTGTTATTATTATTATTACATTTATTACATTTATTATTTTACTCTATTATTATTATTATTATTATTATTATTATATTTATTTTCCCCTATTTATTGTTATTATTACATTTATTATTTTGCTCTATTATTTTATTACATTTATTATTTTACTCTATTATTATTGGAAGGATACATAAGCACATTTACAATGAAGAAGGTTAGAATAATGGTTTAATCAGAATTAGACAGTCTTATCTTAAATTACATTTATGTAAATATTCAAAAACATTTAACCTACTGATGCCTCAATTAATGTAATTTCATTGGTATCTATTTTTATTTTGAAATTTACCAGTAGCTGCTGCATTTCCTACTCTCAACTTATACTCAAGTCAGTAAGTTTTCCCAGTTTTTGGTTGTAAAATTAGGTGCCTCACCATATATTCGGATATACAGTACTAGAATTCCTCGAATCTCTCAACTAAAATGAGCATACTGTTAAGGGGATTTGTGGGAGCTGTAGTCCAAATGGAACTCTTCAAAGCTCTGGATATCGACATTGTGTAAGATGTTACTCTTTTTGCATGTATATATCTATTACTCTAAACCACAAAGAGATAAATCTGACATTTATCTCTCTGTGTAAATCAGATATGCTCACAGGCAGTTATATTGCTAATTTTTCATGCAAC